TTCCCAGCCTGCAAAAGTGCCCTGGCAATCCTAGAATGCGTAAATCATTCTAATACATAAAATCCAAATTTCAAGTCCAATTTCCCCCCTCCCCCCAATTTGTTTCAATGTGAGAGGGTTTTCAGACAAAACACAGCTCAATATGGGGGAAGGGAATTATATTACAGTTTATTATTTACACAAATAAATACTATAATACATTATATATACAATTCTAACTCTCTCTCCTATGGAAAAGCAATATATTTACATCAGATCAAATCCTTCCTTTCCCTCCAATAAAAGTTCAGAAGGGAAGATGAAAAGATCCCTTCCACTTTCAAGGCAGCAGTGTCTCTCCTCTTCAAGGCAGCAGTCGTAGCTGGATTTGTCATAGCTGGAAAATCTCTCTCTCTCTCCATTACAACACAGGGGGCTTCTCTCACCCCTCGGCCCTTCGGCTCCAGCCCAAGGTCTCTCTCCCGTGGACTCCAAAAGCAGGGACAAGGCTCATCTCTCCACAGTCATATCACGGGGTACCAGGCACCCCTGACAGTCCCTTCCTCAGGGGATTCAAGTTCCTCCTGAGTCAGAACGTTTAGGGCTTTCAGTTCAGTTTCTGCCCCAAGCGTTCTAGCAGAGCTCCTTTGCTCCATTCCAAACTGTCAAAATGGCGAAGGGGGGCAGGAAGGCCTCTTCCCCCCTCCACATTCCTCCTGGCTGTCCTGGTCCAGCTCCAGGACATCTCTGAGCTTCTCAGCTTCTCTCTCTCTCTAGTTGCTGCTGCATTTAAGGACTCCCTTCAAGTGGAAGTCCACCCCCTCCTTCCAAGAAGGGTCTCAAAGGGTTTGGAGAAATAAAGCCAGGTTCACCCCAAACAGTCTCTGCTGAGCCTGGTGCTCTGTCTCTCCGTCGGGCATCTCTGTGTCTCTCAGCTTGGCTCTGTGCCACCTCGCTCCTGCTGACTGTCTTCTTGGCTTTCAGCCACAGCTCTCTGTTCGGTGCTGTCTCTGCCGCCGCTCCTGCTGCCCACTCCCAGTGGAGAAAAACTCCCTCGGCTCTTGGCCACAGTACTTGGCCCAGTTTAACACTGTTCCGAGTTTCTACAGCCCCAACCAGGGGGCTGGGGGGTCTTGACCCCCAGTGGGGCTCCCTGGCCCCTCTCTCTCCTTGTGGTCTCAGACCATGGCTGCTGCTCTTCTTTCAGCTATGTAATCTCTTCTTTTCCGGTCCATTGTGATATGTTTAATTTTGCAGGGGTGTTGATTGGGTCAACACCAAGAATACCACCTGCTGGGGTTAACCACTTTCCAACTCCAGGGGAAAACCCTTTTTAACCCAGGACAGTCATGAACCATTTCAGTCTCTGACACTCCTCACCTTGGCCAGTCAGTTCCTGGGAACAGCCCTGGCAGCGCAGCCCCCAAGGGCACATGATGTGCTGCTGGGCTTGAGAGGACCCTCAGCCTGGGCAGCAGGGCTGCAGGGGGGGATTCCCTGCCCCTTCCCCAGCTGGGCCCTTCCTGCCCACAGCTCCTGCTGCAAAGGGCTCCCACACACCCTGGGACACTTGTCCCACTTGGGCACTTGAGCTGCCCCAGGGCATCTCTGGGCAGTGGCCAGCTCTGGGACTGCCCTGGCAAGTCATAGCCTGAAGCCACGAGTATGGAATTTAGGAAATAGTTGAAACCTCTGCAGAACAGAACTCTTGGTGGCTGCTGAAGGCTTCATGAACAGCATTGCCACAGCTTTTCTTTTTTTTAAATTCAACTATTTTTTGTAGGCGAACACCAGGACTATGAGACTTGGAAAGAGCAGCTTTAGATGTGGGCCCGCTGCAGCAGCGACTTCCAGGATCGAGCAAAGCAGAAAAACAACGGCCACTTGCGTTATTTATTGTAGGGGTTCCCCCCCTGAGCTGTGTATTTTTCCCAACCCATGGGGGTCCCGGGGGTCAGCCATGATGTTGCCTGAAAACTGGGACTGCTCAGGGCTGGAGCATGGCCCCAGCACAGCCTCTCCCA